TTACAGTTAATTGTGTTAAGTGCTAAAGTAGTGTAGGAGGAAGAGCAAATGGGAGATGGGGATGACCTGAAGCCTTTTCAATGCAAAGACCTTAGAACTGCTGTTTCATGATGTGGAATGTGCTGAAGGGCAGGGATAGGGAAATCCAGGTACATTGCAAACTTAAAGCCTTTTTAGTCTAGTACTTTTAAAAGTTTCTATTTACGCATTTAAAAGCCCAAACAACTGATTTTTTTTTTATCTGAAATGGATTTATAGCCAGATCATAAACACATGTGGGGATAGACACACCAAAATCCCAGGTTCTATGGATAAAAGCTTTCCTTTCTGTCATCTTGCATTCTTCCACTCTGCAATCAAATTACTGTTATGTATCTTAAAATGTGGTTCTGCTACAGAATAGGGAAAGCACAAGCTGCAGAGAACTTGCCTCCTCACCAGGCTCTAAAATACCTCTAGGGGTGATGGAACAAACCACAGTCAAGGGTCTAATTCTTTCTTTCCCCTCACTCTGTTTGCACTCAACAGCAGTCAACTCAGAACATGTCCAAGATAAGCAAGTCACAGCAAAGCTGTGCTTTGCTGCAGCTATGTCAGGAGTTTTATATTTGCAGAAACCTCAGTGTTTTTCATTTTGATTCTGAGGTGAATTTTTCAGCCATTGATAGAGGATGTGTCCTCCAACGTGAATAGGCTGTACAAGGACGCAGTGCAAGATGCTGCCTTTTCTTAGTACATCGTTTGTCTTACTGAGCACAAGCTCTCAGAAGGATAAGAGCAGTTACCAGTATGAGTCCATGGAAAGTTGTAGCCATCCCTTTTGACTCTTTCTCTTACAGATGCAGTACAAAGAGACTGATCTGGGAGGAATTGCTGCTGCCTCTTCAAGCGGAAGTTGTCTGCTGGCCATGATACTTTCCCTACTCCTAATTCCCTTAGACTAACTATCTGTAAGAAGCACAAGATGATTTTTCCTGTTTTAAAGGCTCTGGGACTTTGAAAAAAGATAGATACTTTTTTTAAAAAACAAAACAAAACAAAAAACCCAACCCTGAATCAGTGAAATGGGAGTCCTAAAGAAAGATGACTTTATTTTCAGAGGTTCTAAATACTTCGGTTCTCACTGGCTCTGTTGAACCTCCCTCTTCAGATTTTCTTTTCTGTGAAGTTACAAGAGAGTTTCAAGGAAAATTTAAGAATATCTGTAAAGTAAAGTAAAGCTATGAGTTCGTATAAATACATTTTCAAGACAGCTATTAACCAGTTTACTTCACAGATAATCTGGTGCCAGATAGCACCATTTATAGCATTAGCATTTAACTGTATGTACTACTTACATACTAATTACATGCTAAGTACATGCAGCCAGACTGTTACTCTTAGGCTTTTTCCTTCTCCGTGTATGGTGGCATATTCTGGACCGTACAGATGTGTTTCCCTCTAGTCCAGAACAAATACTGAAGTGCATGGCTCTCTATCTATAGCTGATTTCAAATGGCAGTGCACGTGCACAAGAATCCAACAGCTACATGCCCACTGGCACATAAGCTGTTAAAAGAAAGATGGTTATTATATGAACATTTTCTTTCTACAGATAAATGTTTATTTGGCATTATAATACCGGAAGAACATGAAACCCTGAGATAGCCACACAGAGCCTGACATGAGCTTGCTTTGACCTCCATGCCACACCTTTTGGGAAAGAGTTTTCTTCTCAAAATTTTAAAGCATTCATTCTGAGAAGATGCTGCTCTGCATCATGCTTATGCTTTTCTTTGCTGATTTCTAGCCTAGACTTCATGAAACTCCTTTATTGTAAATGTTCTCATGTCTTAACAGTTGGGAATTGCTGCTCTAGACAATCTTGTAATAGCATCACCGTCTCTGCTTTCAATTTAAAATGATTGCTCAGGCCTTAAACACTCACAAAGAACAAGGCCCAGTGTTGCCAGTGAACCCACATCTGCCTTCAGCTGAGAGGGAGGAGTAGGAGACACTTGAATCGAGATGAAAGCCACTGAGCTCCATAAGGAGAGCAGACGGTGCCCCTGCTGGGTTTCAAGGGATTTACTCATTCTCAGCAGAAGTCTCTCATTCTCTCTCTTTTTTTTTTTTCCTCCTGTTTTTTTGATTGCATAAGTCAGATCAAGAAGGGAAGAGGAAAAAAAAAAACAGGAGGAAAAAAAAAAAAAAAAAAAAGTGAGGTATCTCCCATCCTAGTAGAAGCCAGTATGACATAACACTTTGTGTCAAGTCACAGTTTCTCCCCAGAGTCCTTGCTAGGACTGTTTATCTTCTGGTTGGGCCTTTGTCCTAAGAGCCTTCTAGGAAGCTGGAAGTCAATAGTGTCACTTCTTTAGATGCTGATCCTAAATCAGATCAAGCTCAAGATAATGAATGTTAAGATATGACATTTAATGAATGCTGCTGGCTAGAATAATCCTGCACATTCTTAACTGGCTGCTTGAGGGTTTTTTTAATTGTAAACATCCCTCATGCAGCTGCTCCAGGGACATGTTTAGGAAACAGTGGCTGGCTGTGTATAAAATATTTCAACTCATCTTGACCTACATTTAGATTTTGTAGCTTACAAGCCACGGACTGTAACCAGCAAAACCCTCAGAGAGCTTATATAGCTTCTGTAGGGCAAGGCACAGGAAACAAATGACGGATGAAGTTACCCAGCTGAAGTGTTTGGAAAAGTGAGTTACTGAAGCTGAACTATAGGGTTCAGATGATTATCAGGTGATTAGGAGTACAAGGAGCAGAGCTGCATAAAGGGAGTAAAGATAACCTCTCCTTTTGCCTTGTGCTTTCTTCCTGATTCATTCTCTCACTTGCAATCTTTCTGTGAAATCTTTTAGGCTCCTTTCAGGATAAAATTCAGAAGGTGCCTAAACACAATTGCACTTTTATATGTGCTTCCTTCTCACTTAAACTTCTGCTCCAAAAATTGCTTAAGTACAGGGATTGTTCTTGATATGACTCCTTATTAAGCGGGGAAATGGGTAGAATCAGATGCTTAGGAAATAACTCTGTTGGGAAGGAACACATTCATCCATTTCCCAGAGCCAATTCTTTCTTTATCTGGCAAGTGAATGCCTGTTTTTGCAGAATGTAAGCACTCTTTTTGAAAAGCAGTGCAGCTTCTAGCCTCTTGAGATTAGAAGATAATCTTCTAAAAGTGAGCCACTATAATATCTTCCCAAATCTGCAGAAAGACTGAATTATCATCCCCTATCCTGCTTGTGTCTTTGCTGACCATGAACATAGAAAGCATTGAGAAGCCTGTGAGTTTCATGCTCAAATAGAGATTGATTACCAAAGGAGGGAGGAAGCCAAGAGGTCAGACACAATGTAGTACTAACATTGACATATAACATTTAGGCCAGCATTAGTTCACTCAGCTCAGGAGAAAGAAAAATGAATTAGGTGTGTCAGCAAAAGACCACATACGCAGTTGATGCGTATCTGGTAACATGTATAGGTATCTGAGTCTTTACACTTCTAGGTTTGTTGGGAAAAGGCAACAGAGCTGCAAGCATTTGACTGTTGGAAAAATCACAGATTTGGAAACTCTGCAGCTGTTTTATCCTCTTGTATTTAGAGGTTGGAATAATGTATAAGCTAGCGTCATAAACCAGGAAAAGCTAACAGTTTCACTGAACTTAATATCAGCTAAAATGCACAACTTGGGTTCCAAACTAACAAACTGTCAGACTAGAAGGTCAAATATTTGATTGGACTGCAAAAATTCTGCACCATCATTTTCCTAAAGCCACTGGTGGTGGCAGAGAACTTTCACTTTCCTACATTAAAGCATCAGAAACATTAACTACTTTTGACGGTTGCTGAATGAAATCCATCAGCAGAGTACTATTGGTTTTCATGCGAACTAAGTGAGGGATAAAGGGAGCGATTACTCTGTGTTATGCAAAAAGGCATTGAGAAACAGGTACCAACTGAGGCTAGATTGACCCTACAAATGAATGGATCCCTATAAAGGCAGTCAACAGAAAGACAATATTGCCACTCTGCATCATGCAGTTAGCTTTATCCTTTCCTTCATGAAATGGAAACAGATAGTACCTGCACATGTGGGGAAGACACAACTTTTTGTCCCGAAGCTCTCACTTCAGCAGAACTAAGTTTAAATTGACAGGGTTTTTTTGGGATGAATCAGAGGCTGAGAGAATTCAGCAAATATGCTTATTAACAATTTCTACCAGAGCATACTTATGTTCTGCTCAAGTAACAGCAGAGAACTAGAGAGATTCCATTTCATATGCAGTTAGTGCCCGTTCCCATTCCATACAGAGACCAGCCAAACTAGCTACAGAGTGTAATTTACTTTTATTACAACCTTCAGTCTTTAATCTCGATTTCTAGCCTAAAGAAAGAAGTACTGGTAATGGCTACATGGCTACAGCATGATTACAGAGATGCAAAATATTTTTGCTTTTTATTTTCCTTTCCTTTTTTTCTGTTTTTCTTTTTAAATACAAACCTTAAGAGTGCCATGTGAATAGTTTAATCCTTGGGAAAGAAAGGTAAGAACAGTATGAGAGAAACAACTGCTGCTAAGTCTCATATAGCACAAATTTGTTACCCGGAAGAAGTAAACATGATAAATATGAGAAGTTATATTTGAAGTTTGCCTAATTCATGGCAATAAAGTTGTTATTTGACAACGATCAGATTAGGTAACTTCAACAGTTATAGGAGAGTAACATAGCATATGTAATTGAAGTCTTTGCCAGGAAATTCTGTTGCAATTATCAACCAATACTCAAACAGAAAAATGTGAGAGGATATTAAAGTTACCTGGAAATGCAACACATACCTGACCATGCTCCAGTGCACATTTGGGATTGCCAACCACCCACA